ATCCATCCATCCATCACATCTACCCACCCATCCATCCATCCACCCACCCATCCATCCATCCATCCATCCATCCATCCATCCATCCATCCATCCATCCATCCATCCATCCATCCATTATCTTTTACCACCTTCTTCCTTTTTGGGTTGGGGGTTCACTGGTGTCCATGTCCAGCAGTCACTGTGCGAGAGACGGGGGACACCCTGGACAGGTCTCCAGTCCATCACAGGGACACATGGAGACAAACAACCATTCACTCTCTCACTCACACCTAGGGACAATTTTAGAGTTACCAATCAACCTAACATGCATGTTTTTGGTCTGTGGGAGGAAACCGGAGTACCCAGAGAAAACCCACGCATGCACGGAGAGAGCATGCAAACTGTACCCAGAAAGACCTCCAGACTGGGATTTGAACCAGGGACCTGCTCACTGAGAGGCAGCAGCTCTACCAGTTGTGCCACCGTGCCCATTGCTAGAACATTTTTCTTCAAATTCAGATTACTACAAATGAAATAAGATGAAATCTAGCTGAATGTCCTGACAGTTCTTCTTTGATTTTAGCCAAACCTAGAACAAATCTCTCATTGGACTACGACTAAACAAACGACATGTAGTTAGAGTGCCGCTGATTGAAACAGATGTTTTTGGTTTTCATTATTTGTAAACTATAATCATCAAAATTACAAGAAATACAGGCTGGAAAGAAATCTCTGTGTGTCTATATAAAATAATCTTTATAAAATATGAGTTTCACTTTTTGAAATGATTGACAAAGAAATGTGAACTTTTTCACAATATTCTAATTGTTTTAGTTCAGGGCTGTTCAACTAACCTGCTCAGGGGGCCACAGTTTCTGAAAGCCAGCAGCTCAGGGGCCGGACATCCAGCAGTTAAAATCATTAAGTAAATAAACTAAGTATCACAATGAGCTGTTACCTTTTAAATTTATTTGTTTTATTGCATTGAATCAGAAATGCAATAAACAGAACCCAAACCCAGAACACTCACTATATATTTTTTAATGAACCCATTGATGGGCCTGACTGAAGTCACCGGCCCGCGGGCTGCCAATTGACTAACCCTGTTTTAGATGCACCTGTAGCTGTACAGCTCTAGAAATACAGAAATTAAAATAAGGCGCCCTGGAATCATTTGGCAACTCTTTTTTTAATACGCTCAGCTCTGCAACTTGTGTGAGGCACCAGTGAACCCCCAAGAACGCTTTTTGTAGTAATTATGTTTAAAGTTTTTAAGTTTGTCACGTCAGACATGCTCAATATAACCAAACTAGAGCCTGACCGATATGGACATTTTGTCTATCGCCGATAACTTTATTGGGAGGGGAAGGCAACTGCTGATTACTGATATAATGGCTGGAAATTTTTGAGCTTTGTTCACCCCCAAGAATCTTTAGTAAACAGCGAGTGGGGCGGGGCTTGTTTATTTAGCACAGCTGTTAGCAACCATGAAGCTATTCAGATCCACGCTTTAGGTTTACAAGTGGTGCACTGGTCATAAAAGCAGTCTTCCTAACTTGCGTTCACATTTTCTGTCCTCCACTATTCATCATAAAGTCATCAAGTGTGTTACAAAAATATAATTTAATTATAGAAACACCTTCACTGTCCATTGTTTAAAGAGTCAGTCACGTATGGTGAAGGTTTAATTAGTACTGACCGCAGCAGAGTTTATTTTTCTTTGTAGAGAAGTAAAGATTTCAGACAAACAATGCATTTCATTAAGGATGACAACAACAACGTTACTAACTCTGATATATATTTTACCGTTACGTTAGATTTATTGCTCTGGATAGTTTTACAAGACAATAGCCTATGCTAGTTTATCTAAACGTTAGGTTGCTAACTTGATAGGTACGTAGCTAATGACAAGCGTCCTGGGACGGCTGTGGCTGAGTGGTTAGAGCAGTCGTCCTCCAATGCAAGAGTTGGGGGTTTGAATCCACCAGCAGTCACATGCTGAAGTGTCCCTGGGCAAGACACTGAACCCCTCATAGCCTCCAATGTGTGTCCCATCAGTGTATGGATGTGATAAAGCTCTGATTAATCTCTTTAAAATGATTTGTTCAATTAGCTTTGTAGAGATCTAGTAGAGAGCTGTATGAATGGGTAAATTAGAAGTGCTTATATCGGCGCATAATGGGACAATTATCCTCAATACCTATAGGTCCCCAAACGTCTATCTGCCTAAATTATTGGCCCCTACCAATATATCGGTCGGGCTCTAATCCAAACATCACTGAAGGTTCATGGCTTTTGTTCAGGGTGAGATTTGAGTCAGTTCTTCCTCAAGTTTATTTGCAGCAACTCAAAGCTGCTCCTACTGATTTTAAACCTGCCTTTTCAGATTCCAGACTAAGTATTTTCAAGGCAAATATGGCAATCTGGACTCCTCCTTAATCTCATTTGGACCATGCCAGACTCCAACACTGGGTTTTTGTGTGGAACGCCACGACAAGATCCAGTCCTTCAAACCAGAAACCTACTGGGTTCTTCAGGCAAAGGTACAGCAACCCACAGACTCTTTCTAAGATGAGCACAGGTGTCATGATGCAACGATAACCCCTACCCACAGGGTTTTTGAGCTGTTTTTAATGTGCTCACATTGAACCAGAGGGGATAAATATGGTTACCAACAGAAACGACAAACATCAAAAGACCTGTTTCATGCATCTTAATGAGTTGTCTCATTTTGACCATTTCAGAAACTTCTGCTTTGAAACACTTTGACATTGTACCAGCTCTTTAAAACTGGATAATATCTCCATCTTTTATTGTCTATGGTAAATCTTTTACTGACACAATTGAGGTTATTGTTGCATTGTTCTAATCTTTAATGGTCCTTGTTTGTTTCGATCAGGTGTTCAGAGGAAAAGACAGCCCTCTGATCCTGGACTGGGACAGGGTGAGAGTCTTTGACAGAGAGGTGGGGCAGATGTTTCTCAACCTGGCCAAGACTTCCAAAGAGGCCCAGGTAAAAGACCAACATCTTCATACCAAGAACCATTAGTAGTCTGGGTGACGAAGTGGTGAGTCGTATCCGTGTTGTTGGCATTCTATTTTAAGTGGTGCGCCGGCTAAATGTCTCGCTCAGATCAACTGCTAATATGGCTAAACCAGGGGTCTGCAATCTGTGGCTCTGGGGCCACATGTGGCCCTTGAGTCCCTCTTTTGCAGCTCTTTGAAGCTTTGACCAAAACTTACATGAAATTTAATTTGATTGGTTTTTATACCCACAACATTAAAAAAGGCTTTGGCACTTTTAGTTGTTAATTTTATGCAAATGTTTGAATGATAGTACTAATTTTTGCTTTATTACTTCAAAACTTAATTTTTCCTCACATGTGGATGCAAGAAGTTACGTGTAATTTTACTAAAGTAAGATTTTACATGTTTTGGAGTCATTTAAACATGAATCAATGTTTTTTTTTTAAGAAGGTGACTGTTTTAATAACCTTTGTTAATCCACCTTGAAAGGTACTTTTACTGTTGTTCCCACTCATGACAAATTAAAATATAAATAAATAAATAATAAGCATAATAAAGGACCAATTGATGAGAGAGAAATTTGACACATGAAGCCATTTGGTGATATTGTTTGTCCAGACACATAAAGTTCAGTCTGTATTTATGAACACTTTTTTATATAACACTGGCAGTGGTGGAGAAAGTACTCAAACACTGTACTTAAGTAAAAGTACAAATAACAGACAAAAATATACTCTAGTAAAAGTAGAAGTACAACATTAACATTTTTACTTGAGTAAAAATAAATAAGTACTTGCGTTTAAAAATACTTTAAGTATTAAAGTAAAAGTACTTGCTGAACGTATTACCTAATGCAATGGTCTACAATATCATTAAGTGTTGTACCGTATGTATATTTTCTGTAATACATTAATAGTGTTGAGCCATTTTAATGAACAAAGCTGCAGATAATACATGTTTTTATTTTGTGACACAGTTCACACTTGGACTTGTGATTCTGTGCATCAGAATTTCAGGGATGACCTGCAGAGTTAAATGCCATTAAGCGAAATAAGAAAGAGAAATGATTTTACCTTTGAAAGTTTTTATTTAACACAAAGTAAAACCAATGTGTAATTTTAACTGCAGTAAACACATTTAAGTAAAAGTTGTCTGCCTGAACAAAAGGAGCATTAGACACAACAAAGGAATATCTGATCATTTCAACTCCAGTTTGTCATCAACTCTAGTTAAAATACTGTCTAGTCAACTTTGTAATGGGTCAATAGTGAACAATATTTTAACTTCCTGACACCATTTTTAAAACTTGGACCTGAGTGTTGAGACATTTGGAGACATCTCTTGTCTCCTAACATCATGAACTGACACATTTTAATATTGCAGCAAGAATTTCTTGTTCAAGTTCACAAGAAGTAGGTTTTCAAAGTTTTTTGAGTCCAGTCTGGCTCTTTTGGGAGAGAGAAGCTGTCCTACTGTACTGAATAATCTTTCAATAATTTTTCAATAGTCTTTCAATAATCTTTCAATAATCTTTCAATAATCTTT